TATACCTAAAACACATGCGATATGCTACCGTAGTTTGACTTTCGCATCTCGATGTAACCAAAAAAAAAAAAAAAACAGCCGATAAATATATAAAAAAATGCAATAATGTTTTGGACAAATTAGTTTTCAAGAATAATATACCATACCCTGATCTTTTATTTATTAAATAAAAATAAAAATTAGAGCCAGTAAACGTTGAAACTTTAATTTCAAATCGATCCGACTCAATACCAAGTAGATACATTGTATGATTTGTAGAGCTGCCATTCAAAAGAATTGGTCCAGTATTAAAAAAGTTACCTCACATCATTGCATATACTAATAGCATCGCTGCTCTACAGCGAAGTTATAAAATAGATCTATCAATTTTAAAAACGCTCATTACTTTGTTTTCTACTCAATTTTAAAATATTTATTGTTGTGTTGACACCAAAAGTTCGTGGTAATTTTTTAACAAATCAGTGGTTTCATTTTAGGCCAATGCGATTTATAAATTATTTCAATATATTGTTAGAAATGTTTTTGTATATTTTCGCAAAACGGCGCACTTGATTTAAAAGTGACACCGTGTTCAAAAGTAAACGAATATTTAAAAATATGATTTGAAGTGTTGTTTAACGAATTTTCGCTTAAGCGTTTACACGAAAACACATCTTTTTAAGCACAATTTTCCTACCTGTTTGATATACAAATAATTTTAAATGAGAAAAAAACGTTACAAACATAACTACTACATAACAGATGGTATAATAACAAAAACGAGTAAACGTTTTCAAAATTTTACCCAAAAACGTATAGCTGTAATTACAATTGTATGACCAAAGTGTGAGTCTGAGTTTAGGTACTGTTCTTCTTATATTTTTCGATAAATATTATTTTGACACCATACGACTGACAATATTCTTTATCATCAACACGATGACTATGATTGGACCCCTCTTACTTAAGATGAATATGTGATTTAATAAAATATATAACCAAAATTTGTATCATTCGTTGTCCTACTTTGATCTACAAAAAAAAAAAAACTTTAAATCGAATTACAAAATTAAAAAACAAAAAACTAAACGTCCTATTCATAAATACACTACACTGATGTTTTATGTTGTTTGTTTGACCTATCTTCAGACTAATTATCAATTCTTAAATCTTAAAAATATGTCAACCTTTCTCGCAGGGGGTGTTCAAAATTTCGGTTTTTCGATGTGCGATTTTAAAGCACATTATATATTGAAAATGCTAAGGTTACATTTTTTTCCTGTCAATAAATATTCCAACATTTTAGACAGAAAAAAACGTCGATCTAACGACAAAAACAAGGTATAAAATTGTCAATGTTTGAATTTCAAATTTTTTTTTTGTTTTCTTTTGTACACCTTAGTGTTATTTTTTACACGTTGAAAATTCAAAGATCATAGCAAACCGTCGAAACTTGAAAATGTTATCGAATCGGATACACTATTAACATACCATTTGTGCACATAGATATTTTATTATTGTACGACTACTGCCTGTAATAGTCCGTAAAACAAATAGTAACCTAACCTTCTATCTTCTAAAAGTTTCTATCAAAAAAATAATTTGAGAGGGGGGTAAAACCAAAAAAACTGTGAAAAATTGAGATCACATTATATGAAAATACTTTGAAAAAAAAAAATTAAATAATTACTTAAGCCCAGTGAGATATTGAGTGTTTCCCGATAATTGGATTACCCTGTATCACATTAAATAGGAAAACCATTTGATATTCGAATGGATTGTAAAACAGTTATGCACGAACATTCAAATGTCTTTAAAAATATTTATTGAATATTTTTCAATTCTTCAAAAATATTTTAATAATATATTCAACGATTCATTTTTGAATCGTTGTGCTCTCTGGGTAGTTATGAGTTAAATTCTCAGAAACAAACCAACATTTTAGAACCGTGGTTGTTTGCAGAACCGTAAAGCTAAAATCAATTTGTTCAAAATTATTAAACATGTGCGACGGTGGCGGAGCACGAAACTTTATCTCTGTAAAGTTTGCTATACATTGTTCAGTAGCTGTAGCGGATGATAATTTTATATGCGACGCATACTGTCAGAACAGCTATTACTTAACCTAACAAAACCTACATTTTTTTAAAATAATATAATATAAAAAGGCCAAACACACCGCACTAGAATATATTATTAAGAAAATGTACTAGGGTCCTATGCATAAAATGTGTAAATATATTATTTATTAAGAAAAAGAATCACTAAGGACGATCGCTGCTGGTGTTTCTATCCAACTGTCTTACGAGGGCAGCCTGATCACCATTCCGCAGGCCGAGCCCGAAATCGAGGACTTACAATCACAACTGAAATCCGGCCTTAGCCTGACAGGCCGCCAACAGACGTACTACCTGATCAACTCGTCGGCAGGCTCAGGCAACGATTTCTAGGCGCTAGTCCGGCGGTAACAAATTGTGCCGGCCGAACACCTCGGCCACTTCGTCCAGGCGCGAGCTCTTGTTCCGCGCAAACGGTACAAGCACGAGTCCAACAACACCAGGCGGTTGCACGTGCTGTCGTCCACGGGCGTCGTCGAGTCATATTCGCCCACGTTTTTATTGCGCAAGGGCTCGCAGTTTTGGCACCGGATCGGCGTCATCATTTCGCGCCTGTCCTAGACGGGCATCTTGCTGCACTGGGACCGGGACAATGACGCGACGTCCCGGGGAGTGATCGCGCCCGGCCAAGTGTTCGCCGAAACGACCGTGTTGACCACGTCGCAAGTGTACAGGCCGATTAGATAAGTGGATGACCATGTATAACTATTAGATGAGACTGACAGAGCTAGCATCATATTTTTGATGTGTAAGACTAGGCTAAGCTAGCTTTTTTGACAACTACGAGCCACGCTGCGCCGCCCGTGGTTGATCGCTGTATATTATAAATATTCTATCCGTGCATCTTACCCTATTACCAACAATTTACAATCTGTATATTGCCCTGACGGAAACAACACTGATATTGATGACAAATAATCAACGTGCCAGTAGAAGTAAATACAATGGTCAACCGGCTGCATCGTGAGCTGGATGATGATTATAGTATCAACAGTTCACATCAAGAAAAAGAAAATTCACCGTTTAAGTTACCTAATAGGGTTTGTCCGTAAACGCGTAGTAAAAGATTACTAGGTTACTACACATGACAAGGTTACCATATGCATAAAAATAAAATATAAAAACTAAAAATAGCTAAAGATACTTAATTTACAAATTATGAGTTTTACCATTTAAATTATGGGTTTTTCGAAAAAAATGTCCTACAAAAGTTGTTAGTTTTGATAAGAACATTTGTTTGGTTAGCAAAAAATACATGGTTTCCATTTAAAAAAAACATATTTTTGACCGTAAGTTAGCCATTTTGAATTTTGGACCCTATTTTTTAATTTTTTATAATGTCCCCCTTTGTACTCTAAAAGTCTTTAATAAGCGACTTATTGATTGGATAAGTATTTTTGGAGAAAAATCGATTAGTATTTTAAAATGGGACACCCTGTATATGTATATACATTTAGCTAATCAGTCAGATATCGTACCAAATTTTAACATAAAGTTTAAAACGATGCGATCAATATCCTAAAATGTATTATCTACTATCAACATACAGCTTTGGCTACTGATTGTGTTTCAAAAAAATATTACAATAACCGAAAACCAGAAAAATAAAAAAAATACACCATTGTGTATGTCTCTTCAACTTCCACCTTACCTTGTGAATGTACATCGTGTGTAAACAATCAAATATCAAACACACAAGGCGTATGGAATTTCGTCACTCACAAAGTTTATCACTAGTCAATAAATAAATAGGTAAAAGCCTTGACAAATGTACTTGTTTTTCAGTTAGTTTGTTATTTTGACTTCAGTGGTATTAGTCGTTCTATTCTACACATACTTCATTGGGTTTCAACTATTTCAAAAACTATCATGCAATTTAAGAGTGTTGTGTTTCTCTGCGCGGCGTATTGCTTTACAGCAGTATGGGTAAGATACTAATTACTCTAAAATAATATTTCCTAAAATAAATATAATTATATACTTAAACAAGGTGACTTATGTAATTTAGTCCTATAACTTATACATTAAACCATAATGACCTTAAACATTTAAAAGGTAACGCATAGTATATTTGATAAACTATTAAGTTAAAAAAAAAAATTACTAGTTTTAAATAATTAATTCTTAAGGGCATTGCATGAGGTCTGCATTAGGGTTTTGTGAAGGCAATATTTAAGTATTAAGAGCTTTTAATAAATTTGGACCATGTCAATTAATTTATCAGTTAATTTGTATATGATTCAAGGTCTTATTTTTAGTTTAAATCATTTTTTCTATGAGTAAAAGCCATTTTGGTTTATTTTAGACCAAAAATCCGGACAAAATTTCGACTACATAAATAGGCCAATGTCAATTTTGTAAAGAGACTCAATTTTTTTGGCTGTTTTACTATGTTATGTAAGAAGCCGATTTGTATTTAAAAATGTCTGTGTCTTGTAATTAAATAAATTAAAATTTACATAAAAAAAGCAATTAACATTATACAAAAATCCAATTCAAATCCCAAACGCTATGAAGAAGGAATTTGGAATTAAAATTCCGGAACATGTTTTTGAATACGATCATAGCATTAATTCTCATAAAAATGTTAAGAAGTTACTTTTGGTGTTAGCGTATAAAGGAACATATGACGACTTTGAGGTATTTGATCTTATATAACTACACTTATGACAACTAACACATCAACTATTAACAAATATCAAAATATTACAAAAACGTGATTGCGAAATATTCGTATATGATTAATATTAAACTTAGAATCGAATGCTGACGTCTTTTGAAGTCGATTATTACGTCAAAAAGTTCACTAAACGCTCCGAAGATATAAACCAACTTGGATGGCTTATTCGTAAAGATATAATAGGTTTTTATGAATACTTAAACATTAAAGGAGAACAATTGTCAATGGCCATTGAATTAATCCCTTGGTCAAAAGGAGGTAACATTAAATTTAGTCGAGGTAGCGGTTTACATCAAGTTAACAAACTTAATTTATTAAATTTTAGGTGGCGGTTTTGCTACCGCAGCGGAGTTCTTGTTGACCATGATAGATATTCTACCGGAAGTAAGCAAATACTCATACAACCAATAATATATTATACTTAGGAACATCAAATGGAAACCATATTGAAGAACGAACGAATTATCCCTGTATATTAAATAGGAATACTCGGATAGAATTTTTAAAAATAAAAAAACAAGATCCTACTATATGTAATTTTTTGCTTACACTTTAGGGCAATGGTCTAAACCAAAATCAAATAAAAGAGCTCATTAAATTGTATACATCAAGTATAACTAAATCTGGTAGCATTGATCCTTTGAAAGTTAACAAAATCTTTAACGGGATTGGTATGCCTATTGAGCCGCGAGAAGAGTTGTTTGAATCTAACCGTAAGAATAAAGTATAAATATATTCACGTTAGATATACTCTGAGTTTTTATATAATATATTATAATTGAAACTTGCACAGGGCCCGCTGCCATAGAGTTGATGGAGTTGATGATTGTTACTGCAGAACGTTCTACGACAGTTCACGAAAATGTAATATCATTTATTTTTAACATGTATATAATTTTAGATTAGGTTCATTTCTAAATTTAAAAATTCCTTCGCTGTCATGCATTACTTCCCTACAGGAAAATATAAATAGTTGACCCAACTAAAAAATACGTTGGCCCGACTTTTTTGTTAGTTATACCAACTAGAAATGTATTGTGTTCCTATACTAACGACAATTTTAGTTGGACCAACTATGTAATTTTTCTGTGCCTATTATTTAATTGTTCGTTACACGCTTTACATAGTTTTACTTTGTCTTTTTTTGTAGGAGATTGTGTTAAGTACACAAGAGGTCAGAACATTGGTAGCTGGTTTTAAAAGATATAACACGGACAATGACGGTCTGCTCTACAAAGACGAAGCAAAAGAGTTCCTGGAAGAACTACTCCCAAACCATCCGCTAGCTTCAAGTACGATTTATTTTGGCGGAATTTTCTCCCAATGTCTATCATTTCTTGGTGTTTTAAAAAAAATAAACATTGCGGAATTTTTATTTGTCTACATAACAAACAAAAAAATTGTTAAACAATCATAAACATATTATTCGAAATATTGAAATGTTAAAATTTATTTATTAATTATAATATTTGAAATATTGCACTTTAATGTCTTATACCTATACAATAATAATAAAATTATATGATTTTTTTTTTGTCCCAGAATATGTAAGAATAAGTATTACAATGATAATTAAACAATTCAATACCTAAATGTAATTGTTTTAATTTAAATACCTAATATAATTTATATAACTCTTCAACTGTGTTTTTGTGATCGTATTTTCTTATAAATGTATAACCCCAAATTTTACTGTGTCGAGTTAGGTGTTTCAAACTTTCATGGTTACACATAGTAGTTTTCTGTTTATTTTACACGGGATTTATGAGAAGTTCAATACATTTTCTTTTTTTAGTTGAATATTGCTTATTATTATTAAGTTAAATATTATCTAAAATCAGTAATCAGTAATTTTAAAAAAGGAACCGTTATTTATATATTATGCATTTGACGTCAGATTGGCAAGTTTACAATCATTTAGTAATTCAATAAATAAACCCTATAAAGTTGCACTTCCTGGGCCCATCCACTAACAAACTAAAACTAAAACTACTGTATGTATTCATCAATATAAGTGTGTTAATTAGATCATTTATTTGTATTGTGTTTTGTTTAAATACCTAACATTCACTCGTATAAGGTCTCATACTACATATATAGTGTATAAAATTGCAACAATAGATATAACACTACACAATAACACACTAGTATGCAAGCGTATATACTGATGGAATGAAACAACAATATAGAATACACAAAGTCACAAACACTCATTTTTACTTATTTTCAACATCTATTCTTCTTTTATTTCCAAAACAAAATAAATAATACTAATATATTATAAATATTAATAATTATTAATAAATAATAAAAACCATTATTTCCAAAATAAAATTAAGTATATAGAATTCTTAACAAAGTTTAGATATAAAAAAATATAACAACTATAAGACAAAATTGGTAAATTTCTTATTGAATCACCCTACTTGTAAAATAATAATATAAATGTATGTATTCTTTAAGTAATAACTTAAGTTAGAATAGTATGATTATTTTTCATTATTTATTCAAATAAAATATAATTGAATATTCGAATATATATATATATATATATATATATATTGAAAACGGAAGGTATATATATATATATATATACCTTCCGTTTTCAATTCAAACCTAACACTGACCAACAATCATGTTTGTAGCTCTGACACTGTTGCCTTAAGAAACCGTTCGTTGTTATTCGCTCGGTCCACCAACAAGCTCATCGACATGTACGTGGGATCTCGGTCAGCAGTGCTGTTCGTCGACAAGATGGTACGCAGCATATTGGGCCAGCAACCGTTGACAGGGTTGGTGCACCCCAGGCTGTTAATATCGCCCGACAACTTGTCGCTGGCCAACTAACTAGTGTATTTGTAGGACGGCGGGGGCCAGTGGACAACGCGCCGGTGTTGAGCAAGCTGCCGCTGAGCGACCACTCCTCGATCCTGTGCAACGACCGGACGAACCTGCACCATATCCAAGTGGTATTCGAGAGTTTCTGGTAGTATCTGCTCATGGACGTGGCTGTCGCAGAAAGGTAGCGTACAGGTGTACCTACGCGTTCAATCCATACTCGGAGTCCAGGTGTGACCAAGCCGGTCAGCCGATCATGATCCACTTGTGGCACGCCAGGTTCAACGTTTTTATTAATGGAAACCCGGTGTTCGGGCTGAACAATAAACACATAAACTTGCACAAGTGAGTTTCCCTATAAGTAGGTTCCATGACAATCTCAATGGTGTCCCGAAAGATGCCCGTGCAGCCATGTCAAATTACCAAAAATGCGGGATTAAGATAATTGGCGCCCTTAGCCCCTGTATATTATTTAAATGGTTTGTAAGATTTTTTTTAATCACTTATTTTTAAAGCATTATTTTTATAACTACAATACATGTCTATAAAATTTATAAAATATATAAAACCAGTATATCAAGGAAAACTATTTGTTATTCGAAAAAATTGTAAATAAAAAATATACACGAAAGTTCAAATGTCCTTAAAAAAAAATGCTATAAATATTTTTAATTTCTTCAAAAGTCTTATAATAAAATATTGAAGATTTTTATGCTCTCTTGGTACTTAAGAGTTAAATTCTTAGATACAATGCAAACTTTTTATTGGACAATTCATTGGTCATGCCCATATTATACTGTACTTAGGTCGTTAAAAATAATATCTAACCAAAAAATAAATTATTTATTTGTAAATTTAATTACTGTCAAAAACCTATACACAATAATGTTGTCAAGTCCCAGCAAAAGGAAAATTGTTTAGAAAAATACTGTACAATACTTTAAACTTATTAAGAAGACTTCTCAGTTGGAAATGTTTTCGCTCAAATTAAAATACTCGTAATAGTAATTATTATAAAAATAGAGTCAAGTTAAAAAATATGGACCAGCCTTAATGTGCACAGTGTAATTATTTTGTACATAAAATTAAATTTACAGGTTTCCGTTAAAGTGTTGTTTGAGCATCCATAGGCTGCCGGTGTCTATGGTGATGCAGATGCCGACCGGATGGGCATTGACCAGATCCGGGTTGCGCGTAGTCTGTTCCTCCAGCAGTAGATGAATTGCACCAGTTTCCGGTGTCTGTCGTGAATGGCCGCGTGAGACTGAGCGGTGAGCATGGCCACCGAAACACTGCTGTTTGACGATGATGTCTATGATCGCCAAACAGGTTAAAGTCCCGCAAGGCCGACTTGGCATTCGGGCGATTCATCCGGATGTTCGGCGGCGATTCCGAAGTGGACTTCAACAAGAAAGTCCAAATGGACTGCTTCACTTGGGATCTGCCCAGAGCTATCGACCGTGACCCATCCGCTTGGCTCGACTACGACGTGGAATACTCGTCGGTCACTTAGCAGTGTGGCCGTCGCCGCCGTCGTCGTACTATTCCTGTCCATCGGCGTTCCTGTTCTACGACCAGCCGTCCGTGTTCTGCGACCGGCAGTCAGTGTTTTTCTACGCGTTCGGCACGTTGATCGGCTGTGGAAACCGCAGCAGGTGTTTCAATCCAACTGGCGTACCTGGGCAGCCTGATCACCACCGCGAAGGCCGAACCCAATATCGACAACCAACAGTCAATGCTTGTAACCGACTTGAGGCTGACCGGCTGCCAGCAAATTTACTACTGATCAACTCATCGGCAGGCTCAGGCAACGATTTCTAGGCGCTGGTCCGGCGGTACCAAATTATGCCGCCAAACACTTCGGTTACTTCGTCCGGCACTCCGTCGTGTTGTATTTTATTAAGAAAATGTACTAGGGTCCTATGCATAAAATGTGTAAATATATTATTTAATAAGAAAAGAAATACTAGACGACTGCTGCTGGTGTTTCTATCCAACTGGCGTACGAGGGCAGCCTGATCACCATTCCGCAGGCCTAGCCCGAAATCGAGGACTACCAATCACTACTGAAAACCGATCTTAGCCTGACAGGTCCCCAACAGACGTACTACCTGATCAACTCGTTGGCAGACTCAGGCAACAATTTCTAGGCGCTAGTCCGGCGGTACCAAACTGTACCAGCCGAACACCTCCGGCCACTTCGTCAAGGCGCGAGCTCTTGTTCCGCGCAAACGGTACAAGCACGAGTCCAACGACACCGGACGGTTGCACGTGCTATCGTCCACGGACGTCGTCGAGTCATAATCGCTCACGTTTTTATTGCGCAAGGCCTCGCCGATTTGGCACCAGATCGGGGTCATCATTTCGCGCCTGTCCTAGACGGGAATCATGCTGCACTGTGACCGGGACAACGTAGCGACTTCCCGAGGTGTCGCTCGCGCACGGCCAAGTGTTTACCGAAACGACGGTGTTGACCATGTCGCAAGTGTACGGGCCGTTTTTCGGACACTACAATTGCCAATACCAACAGCCGTTTAGTTGGTTCACAAAGAAACCTTTGCTCATAAAATTAGTTATTTAATTTAATTTCAAACTAACTAAATTAAAAATGATAAAAATTAAATCATGTTATATTTATGATGATAGTCTATGAAAAACTGTAGGTTGAGATTCTAAAAAGCTTCTTTCAATCCGTGTAGATTATACCGTGTTGTAGTAATTGATTTATTTATATCAAGAGAAAAACTACTATTCAAGTAGTAAATCATGTTAGCGAAGGGCAAAAAATTAAAATTACTTAAAAATATTTGTGTATGGTAAAAAACGATTCATAAAAGTAATTTTTCAGTTATTTTAGAATATCGTAAATAGGTCAGGTTGGCCATGAAATTCATAACAAAACTGTATTTGTCGACGTCAGGTGTACATTATAGTAGCGCAAATTCAATATGGGTATCTAAATAATGTTTACAGTCTTTTAACTTGCAAAAAAAAAATTATATAAACGATTACTATATTTTCATTTATGTAAACAGTGCAAATATGGAAGCGCACATCGCACCACACCAGTGTTTTTCTAAAGTAAAAAAATTGTGTTTTCGAATTAAGGCCAAGGCACGAATTCGATAAACAACAATACTTTAATATTAAAAAAAAACATATTTCTAAACTTGTTTAATTTTGACCTTTGTGTCGCTTTTGAAACACGTGCGCCGATGTGCAAAATAACACAAAAACCTCACTTTTTAAAAATTATACATGTATGTCAAACCAAATGGTTTCATTAATAATAAGACTGTTATAAAAATATCATTCAGCTTAATTCTTGTTTATGGTAACTCCTGATTTTAATCGAGTTAGTACGCTGGTGTTCTAGACCGATATGCACTACAATTGCCTATAGCAACAGCCGTTTAATTGGTTAACAAACGAACCTTTGCTCACAAAATTGGTAATTTTATTTAATTTCAAACTATCTAAATTAAAAATGATAAAAATTAAATCGTGTTATGTTCATGATGATAGTCTATGGAAAATTGTAGGTTGAGATTCTAAAAAGCTTCTTTCAATCCGTGTAGATTATACTATGTTGTAGTAATTGTTTTATTTATATCAAGAGAAAAACTACTATTCAAGTCGACGTTATACAAGAAATGGTTATTGTTTATTTATCATCCAGTCGATTTTAAATTTTCTGTTGCTAAGCCACATATTACTATGACAGACAAACATTGTAATTAGCTATTTTTAATAACCGAACCTAACCTAAGATTATTTCTACAAATTTTTTTAACCAAAAAAATCCATAATTAATGCCAATTAAACCCATATTGTTATTATACATTAAAAACCAAACGAATATTTTTAAAATATGTTATTTGATAAGATTTGAAATGTTGTATACAAAGACATACATAATCTATTCATATACATTATTTATTTATTTAATTAGTATACAAATTAACTATATAAAAAATGTAAGATAAAACAATTTTTTTTCGAATTTAATTTAAAATTTCCCAAATCTAAATATACTATGAAAACTATCAATCGTCTAATTATTCTCCTTGATTTGATCATCAAGGACATAGATTAGATTGTCATAATTGTCAACTTCATAATAATTTCCATCAAAGTATCTGTATTTGAAGTATATGCGGTTTATAGCCGATATACAACAATTTACACCATCGATACCAGAAGTTACTATATATAAAGTTAGATTTTCAATTACTCTGAATAAACCTATTAAATGACGCATATTGAGATAAATTACAAAATACGGATCTTTTTCACCTAAAAAATACAAAATAAATTAAATTGAGCTCATTCGATATTAAATTATAAAGTCTCATCTTTATTTTACTGTGTAATGCATCTTTATATTTAGTGTATTTTAAGAAAAATCCCATATCCACGTTGTTGACGCTCCATAGTTGTATTATTACTAATTAAATAATTGTATACAAATTTATCCAAACAATTTTACATAAAATGGTAAACAAATTTAATATGCATATTTACTTATTACAGTACGGATGAACGCCGTATTAACTTAAGCACTATCTAAAGTAATATCTATTTTTTTAAATTTAATATTGCTACTCTTAAATGACCTTAGTAAAACGTACCCGTTAAAATAGTTTAGTAGTATGGTTAATACTTCAATTTGTAAGTACTAATAAAAGGTTTAGTAATATACAAATTATTTAATTTAATAGTTATTAATTAAAAAAACAATCACGGTCTGATCGTCTAATGTTTGCGTGACACAAACTCTAATTTTATTTTCCAGAACAAAACGCAAGTGAGTTTTGTTATCAATTTAGAATGTAATGTAACTGAATCACAGATTATTGGTCCTTATTTTTATGAACGGAAACTCAATGATAAGAAATAACTATTTAAAACGAATAAAATGCCAACGTTGTTGACAAATTTTTTTTATAATTTTGATTATTAAGTGCTGGTGTACATTGAGCTAAATGAACTTTAAAATTAAGCATGTTTTTTGGAAAAATAATGGAATTATAAAATTTTTATTCCTAAAAGTTGCGGGAAATTTGTCTTTATATGTTTTTGTAGTAGTGTTTGGGATGAAAATTAGACTCAAAGTAGAAGTATATAAAATATACTACATGTTAGATTGGTTTTATACTTATTCCAATAGAAAAATAATTTTCAATGACAAAAAATACTGCGAATACATGAAAACAACAATATGCATATAGTAGGGACCGACTTATTTAGACCAAAAAGTACTTGTGTTTCAGTGAAATATTTTCGCATACAAAAAATTTGTTCAAATAAGGGCAATCTCATCGGCAACAACAGCAGAAAACGCAAACACAATTTAGTTTTACCAGTAAGCGAATAGGTTTTCAATTCAAACCTACGTGTCGATAAAATATCTGTTTGACACATTTTTTAGCGTGGAATAATATACCGTTGGTTTATAAATCACATTTTAAAAACGGTTAACGTCGTGTAGGTAAATTATTCAGTACATAAACTACTCAAAATCAGTTTTGAATATTACTGAAACTCAATTCCAAATTGCGTTCAAAACTGGGTTTAAATACTCGAAAGCCTTAACTATAGGTTAGATGCATCATCAAATATTTTCTATACAAATCTCTAAAAGTAACTAGAGAGCCCATGTTCCATGCCTTAACCCCCACTCACTAGAATAGCTCTCATATCACCCAAAGGCTTCATATTAAAATGTAACGTATTTTCAATAACCAGCAAGAAATAGGGGTTGCTGGTTAGTGGTAACCGATTGACGGTTACCAATGTAGGATTTAATCTACACGGAAAATCATGAGTGAAAATGTACCGTGTTTGGAATTTAAAAAAAACTTATTTAATTTAAAAGCTATTTTAGCTTGAAAGTTGATAGTTATTTTCTCTTACAATATAATACTTTTTTATTATATTTAATCCCGTGATAACTATTTAGTTTCTAAATCGCTTATTTAAAAAAAACATATTTATATACAATATATATATATAGATTTAGCTGATCAATCAGATATCGTACCACAATTTAATATAAAGTTTAAAACGATATGATTAATTTCCTAAAATGTATTATCTACTCCCAACATACTGCTTCGGCTGCCTACTAATTGTGATTCAGTAAAATATTACAATAACCGAAAACCAGAATAAAAAAATACAATAATACACAAACTATACAATATACAATTTTGTGTAAACAATCAAATAGCAAACACATAAGTTTATAGAATTTCGTCACTAACAAAGTTTTTCTGTTAGTTCGTTATTTTAACTTCAGCGGCAATAGTCGTTCTATTCTACACGTACTTCGTTGGATTTCAATTATTTTAAAAACTATTATGCATTTTAAAAGTGTTGTTATTTTCTACGCGGTGTATTTCTTTACATCAGTATGGGTAAGATACTTATTAATCTAAAATAATATTTCCTAAAATAAAGATAATTATGTACTTGAACAAGGTGACTTATGTAATTTAGTCCTATAACTTATACGTTAAACTATTATGGCCTTAAACATTTAAAAGGTAACGCATATTATATTTTATTCCTTTTTTTTTAAAAAAAATTACTACAAATGTTGACAGTTCGAAAACTAGTTTTGAAAAATTACTTCTTAAAGGGATTGCATGCGGTCTGCTTTTAAGGAGTTTTGTAGGTAATATTTAAGAAAAAAGAGGTTTTATTAAATTTCGACCATGTCGATTAATATATCAGTTAATTTGTATATGACTAAAGGTATTATTTTTAGTTTAAACAATTTTTTCTATGAGTAAAAGCCATTTCGGTTTATTTTAGACCAAAATTCCTTAAAAAAATTCGACTACATAGAATGGTCCAATCTTAGTTGTGTTAAGAGATTTACATTTTTTGGCTGTTTTACTATGTTATAGTAAAATTGTTACCATTGAACTCTTGATATTATTCCTCATGCTTTCCTATGATCCCAAGCATTACCCAGATTTGAAAGTTTCCTCGCATGTCGAGAAGTACAGCTATTATCAGATGATAAAACGTATTGTACTTTTTGATAATGTACTTTTGGATGTTAAGTGTAATTATGTATCATAACACAACAAGTGACTTGTACATTAAGTAACTATATACTTAGTACTAATTGTACTTTTACTATTACAAGTAGGTAACTCGTAAAACTGAATGTTACCATTTTAAAAACTGTAAAATATTTTATATTTCTTCAACATTTTTAGAAAAAGAATTAACACATTGGTGGTCGTGACTGCTAGAGCAATGAATCAGCGAAATAAAGGAGACACTTGCCGGAAACAAAATAGACATAGCAGTAGGAGGAGAATAGGTATAATTTCTAAGATTTGTTGACGATACAGATCTATAAGCTAGCAATGAAAATGATTTGGAAATATCGCTGGTAGTAAAAATACAATATTAAATAAATTAATCGTTATTGTCATTACAATACTTTTATCGATATGAGTGTTTCTACAAATTCTCTTTGAAAAGTTTATTTGGAAGCAATTTTATTTCATTCAGTCAACTCGGTCCAAACTAAATTTTGAACCAAATATATTGTACTATGTACTATCTCTGTTTTATGAATATCCGTCGATAGCCGTACTAAATACCCGTAGTCCTGGTCTGTAATCGTTTGCGCAAATTTTTTTTTTTTTTTATAAAAATTTACTATTTGTCTTACGGATTATTAAAGGCGGTAGCTGTTGCAAAATAATAAAAAATCTACGCGCGAACAGTATATCTGATTCGATGAAACGTTCAGTTTTTGATGATTTGTCGTAACCTCAGAATTTATAAAATTAATAATTAGAAATGCACAAAACAAAGTTATAACAATGATGAGAAATTCAAACATTGACAATTTTATCAATTATTTTTTCATGTTTTCGACGAATTTTTCTAATAAAAATGTAATACTTAATATATGAATCGATGACGGTTAAAAAAAAATGTTTAAAACATTTATGTGCATAAGTGCCGAAATTGTATGCGTTTTGAAAATATAAAAAGGTTAACAAAAATAAATTTCACATAGAAAAAACTCAAATTTCGATAACCCCCTCCCCCGAAATAAAATTCTAATTTTTTTTAATTTGTTCGGCGCAATCTTAGGATTTAATAGCTGAAAGTTAGTCCGAAGATATGTCCGAACATACTGGTATATATTGTCGGGGTCGCTGATTTTAAATTTAATATTAGTTTTACATTATACTCCTTGCTTAAGGGGTTGAGTTAGTTGTATAATTATTTATTATACTTTTGATAATACTCACTTGCGCTATAAACACTACGGTTTTAATTGCACATAACTAATTTACTTTTTAAAATTATTATTATTTTCTTTTTATTCAAAAAAGCCATTTTATTTAGAATAATTTTTAAAAAAGAATTGACGGTAAAAAAATTGTAATACATCCAAAACATGACTGTGATGATCGAATAATAAAACTTGATTACTAAGTACTTGATAGCCAATGTCTCTTTAACATGATATTTTACGGGAAATATGCTCATCAGTTATCGAACACGGATTCCACTTAAGTCACTACACAAAATTTAACCCCCTTTCTGTTGCATAAAGTAACAAATTTGAATAAGTAGAAGATGGTTTATTATGTTTTAATATAATACGTGGAAATATCGAATGTATTTATCACAAGTATTGGTTTCTTGATCAGTGGTATTGCGTTTGACCCGACTACTATTTCTGAAGTCCAATCTTTATGCGTTGCTCTATATTTTCTCTATAATAATCAACTTGGTGAAATAGGTACCCGTCCGAACGATCCCGCTATATTATTCGTAGTTAAAATAATTAATTTCTTATCAAAATTCCACAAAGTGCTTATGCAATTTTATTTCCACTCAAAATACCAAAAGTTGTTAATTATTTCTCATTGTAAAAATCACTAATATTTCTCTCTTCTTTTTTTTATACCTAATAATCTGATACTCGTGAATTCCGTGTTCCACTGAGTAGTTTTCTATTGCAATCTTTGTGGTGTCGCGCCCAAACAGATAGAAGACCAACGGCAGTGCTGGCGGCTTTAATTTTGCAATGTAAGGCCTTGATAATCGGTGAGCTTAATAAAATGTTGTGGTGTAAGCGATTAAAGCCGTGAAACCGAGACAAGGGATACGAGGCTGACAGACGATGGCATATTGGAAAGGTTTAGAGGAAACACGGACCATTTGCCTCTTTTGTAAACGATTCTATGGCAGAATTGAAGAATGTTTTAACAAGGTGCGAAAAGTCCATGTGGATCACTGAAAGATAAAGTTGAGCTAACAATGTATCAATTCATTTTTAGTGATCTCAGTGTTACCTGGGACCCAAGCAAACTCAACTTCTAGATGAGAACAGGAAATACGAGATTTAGAGCTAAATGCAGAAATGGATTTAGCTTTTTTTTTTTAAATGATATCAGAAAGGAACTCATATTTCTCGAAATGCGTTTTCAAACGATAGAAAATTAAATATCATATATATTGACTTTTAGGTAGTAGATATGCTTCGTGTGAGTTACGTTGGTAGCAGCGATTTTTGCATTAGATTTCCGAGCATTATTAAAACATTGAACAAATAATAAAATAGTGTGAAAGCAATTTCGCACACAACTTGACGTATACAGTACAATGTAAATATGTAATAATTTAAAAAAAAAAAAAGTTGTGTAAACAATTAAACACTGTAAAACCCCTACAAAATAATTTAGACTTTACTGTTTCGTTCGACATAAAAGGCCATACACAAGTCTTAAAAAAATCACTTCAACAAATTATCTATCACTTCGATAATAACTGAACTGAAAGTAATACTTGCCGACTACTTTGATAGTAAGTACATTTTTTATACATTTTATTAAATGATAGAAATTAGATTTTTTTTGTTTTTATGTAATTGCGCAAGATAAATTTTTAACCGACACTCAATATTCAGTTTTGATAAATTGCCAGTTTTTTTTTATTACAGAAATTGTACACGTAATGTAGTTACAGTATAAACTATTTCTTAGCAATAAAAAAAAAAAAAAATTAACTCTTCTAAAAAAATTAAAGACTTCATAATATCAACACGTCATTTTTTAACATTATTAAAAAAACTGATGTGGCAATATTTTTAGGTACATTCATTTATTCAGTAAGAACCCATTTTTTTAAGAATTCTCTTTTAGACATAGTTTTTTTTTAATTCAGAACTAAAAATTACACATGGTTCAAATACAAAAAACAAATATACTTTTCTTAGAAGTATTTTTACCAAAGCATTTTTTTTTAAACTATAATATAATAACAATAAAATTAGCAAACCAAAATATATTTTAAAATGATAAAGTCAAATTTTATGTTTTGTGAATAATGCGTCCAATCATTTATTGAGGCATCTAACCAAAAAACCAATAAATAACTAATATCTTAACCAAATTGTATAAGCGCCACTAGTAAATTAATTCAATATTATAATTGCATATTATTTTAAGAAGACTGTTTTTCCATTTATACCATTGTAATAACTAAACAAAAAACATTTTTTTACGTGTCCCTGCGACACGGACTACAAATTTTTTTTTTTTGTTATTTCCTGAACAAAAATTATACTGTAAGTAGAAATGCCATTTTTTTTATAATATAACGTCCAAAGGAAATTGTCTGTTCATAAGTTAAAATATTTTTGAAAAAAAAAACCAACAAAAATATTATAGATAGGAAATGTTTGGCTACAAATATTATGAATTTTTTTTGAGAAAAAATTTAACGTGTATCTTTTTTTCATTAATTTTTTTTAAAGTGAACAGCAAACCAGACAGCGTCTAGTAAAAAATTATGGTTTTTACAAAAGTCTGGGAAAAACCATTTTTTTCATGATTATATAACTATATGAAAACTAGCGAACTCTTTAATGCAGCCGCGCGACGTCGATTCTAAACAATATTACAAAACTATATAAATATTGTGATAAATCATTAGACATTATAGTCAAAACAATTATTACAATACTAATATTTTCCCCAAAATTTATAGGCGCTTAATTTTAATGATTTCGATACTAACAGTAGGAAGGTTTTTATTATTTATTACCAGAGGGATAAATAAAAAATTGAGTACATAATGACTATTATTTCTGAAATATACCTTATGTTAGAACGATCACCTCGTATACATAAAGAAATATATTAAACAAATAAAAACGGCACGTGTACTGGCAGTGTGCGTGGATGAAGTGATATATAGATTTCGGAATTGGTAGAGTTAATGTTTGTTCACGAGGAATACAAATATTCATAAAATCAACTTAAAATCAAACCTTTTTTTTTTTTTTGGTTTTGAACTACTGGTACGATTTTCACTTTTATGCCCGTTTTTAATATTACAATAAAGTTATTAGGTGACACGAATTGGAACTCAGATTTATTGAAGCATATTGAAATCAGTTTAAACGCTTGTTTACTCTTCTATGTTGATACAATTAATCATATTTTATTGATTAAGTAGGTTATTTCAATTAATATATTTAACCACATTTAATCTTATACTAGCTGCCCGTGTACCCGGCTGATAGTCTGTAAATGTAATAATAATATATTTGTGATTATCACAACAAATCAATTTACAACGATAAAAAGAAACTCCAAAAATCCTAACCTAAAATATTTCATAGTATTTAATCACGGACATAATCGGTATGATTTACTTTCACGACGGTCAATTTTTGTTTAACTTCAAAAAATGTAACGTTTATTATCATTTACAGGTAAAAATGAAACTCTTACGTTTACTAATATTATTCGGCTTGATAAGTGTTTTGGTAGCTTGTGATCGAAGTAATTATTTCATTTGTTCATTCGTACTTAGCGAGGTAGTAGGAATTTGTAAAAAATACTGAACATTTAACTTGTTTTTATAGAGGAATATTACAGCGTAGTCATAAATACAAGTCAGTAAAAAGTTGTTTTCATACAAAATAATTTTTTAAGTTTCACTATGTTTATAATATAATTTGTTACAGGTAGGCAAATGGAATCTTTAGATGAAGGTAACACATAGTCCAATCATGATCTATAACCTCCTTGCAATTTACGATGATAGTATAGTCTTAACTTTTATGTTCTGGCCAAACATTTGCACAACGACAACAATTAATTTGATATTGGTAACTTTAAGAGCTTGTTGTGAATAGGAAAATTAAAAAATTCCATACACTACTAGTGAGAATATTTATTTTAAGATACTAAACACACAGGTAGATCATATTTCAAACCAATGAGTTGTACTGATATGAATTTGACTCAGGCCTGTGGTTTACATCTTATAAACATTTAGTTTTCGATTTCCTCCTAAAATAATATAAAAAATAAAATGTTGGTTCTAAGCTCGCTAGATTGAGCTAGGTACTCAAAAAGATACAAAATATGGATTAAAAAGGCCAAAACAATTATTTAAGTTGTTCGCAATTAAAAAAATATATCAGGTATCTAAAACCGATAGACAGATTTGTTATTTAGGGTCTTATTAAAATAACTTTGCTCTGATATAGTTTATTCACTACTGAGCATTAACATTGTATATTACAAAATCATTTCCCCGCCCCCCCCCTTAAATTGACATACTTTTAATAAAAACAATTTTAAAAAATTCTCAAAAAATTAAAAATCCAGACTTAATTAGGCCTCTTGTAGGTATAGACAGCAGTTACTTGATAGATAGCAGTTGATTGCCCGTAAGTTGTCTAAAGATTTTTTCGCTGTGAAGGGTTTTTTAAAAATATTATATTATTTTATTTCCTTACTATAATTAACAATAAGTACTGCTTACATTTTTTTTCATCTCTTACCATTATTTGTTTATACTAGAACAAATGGATAAAGTCATGTTGGCGTTTGCTAAAAAAAAATATCCAATTGGTAAGTACAACTAAAAGAAAAGATGGTCTATACGATTTGGTAATTACAATACTATAATTAGACAGTGGTTAGTGGTTAACCCTGAGGGGTGTGACACTGTAGAACTAAATCAGCTATCTGTCCGTCTCCATACATAATTATATTACATCATATTAACTATAATGAAATGTTAAACTAAATTATAAATTAATAATAATACTTATTATTTTTAAATATTAGTATTAGTTATAAATAACCATTTAGGTATTTTATTACTATATTCTCGAATTAATTAAATACAATTAGATCCTAAGCACATTTTTCCGAAATAATTAGACATGTCCATTTTCTACTTGTCTTCTTCTCAAATGTATCAATTAAATAAAAATAAAAATTAATTAATGCGTTTATGTTATTTTAAATACAGAGGATTTTTTTTATATGTTTATTTCCATACCGGGTAATGACTTTTTTTAAATATCATATTGATTTTTATATTGTCATAATGTATAAAATGAATTTTGTTATTTCAGAATGGCGACCCTATAGCCCACCAAGTATTCAAATTTACATATTTTATTTTTATATTACTTTATACAGAGTATCATCGTTAATTATTTATAAACGAATGTTGTGAATGATCATATACATACGTATTGATTTCTGTTTTACAAAATTATATACAGTACATTTTATTTTGTTTGGAATTTCAGTAAAGATGCAAGTCCAGCGTCAATTGCAAAAATTAATTGAGGATGCGACAGGTGATTTTTTAAATAGTTTTTTTTAATCAAACAATAAATAAATTTAGTTTTTATATAGTTCTAAATAAAAACGATAACTAATCTCTTAAAGTTTAATTTTATAATTCTAAATGTTTTTGTTTAAAACTTCAATGGTCTTTTAAAACATAGTCCTAATCAATCTAGTTCATTAATATGTTTTTAATCATGGCTACCAGAAGTTTTAAATTAATTAACTGTTTTATACTGATTAAGTCTTGAAATATTCTCAACCTCAAGATTACTCATATAAATAAGATATTGAGTACAAAATTATTTTTTTAAACGTTTAATTATTTGATATTAAAATTACAGATATCGAAGCACCTGATGTAGCCAAAGGTAATTACAATCATATACTCATTTTTCAATGGTCTGGTTAAATGGCCTGGTAAACCGCTAACGTAAAAGTGGCTTAACAAGAGGTTTAAAAGGTTAGGTTAGGTTAGGTTGTTTATGTTATTTAAGTTGAAAAAAACAATACAGTGCAGTTGAGCTATAGTCGGTCCAAGGAAATTATTAGAAATATCCATGTATTCCAATGCTGATCAATTAATTTATTATTATATATTTTTAAAATTATTTGTTATTAAGATTTGTATGGTCCAAACTGTAAGTTGTCAGAATATGAAGCTATAAGAAAAAGATTGGTAACAAGTGATCTTATAAGAAAATTAATCAAAACCGAAATGGGTAAATATACATATTGAATTAACTATACTGGTATTATTAACTTAAAACAATATATTTTTAGTAATTATATTTAAATAATAATAACAATACAAAAATAAAAAACAATAGATTATTAACTTACAGACAATTATTCTTACCAAAGTAACATAGTAATTTAGGTATAAACAAAAAAATAAATTAGAGCTATAGAAACACAACATTGGTATTTGACTAAAGGTACTCTTTTGCTAAGATTTATTAGTAACATTATGATTAGACTAAGTCTTTTTTGAGTTTAATTTGTGTTTAATTGTTGTATTTGGACTCAATTGGTTTAAACAAAATTTTTTAACCAACTAGTTTTTAACAATTACCTAAGAGTTTTAACTAAAGTAGTACATATAGTACATTCGTACGTATAAAATTCCTCGTAAATCACGAAAAAATACTTATCTTATAAATAAGACAATCCACAACAGAGTTTTATTGATGACGGTAAGTGTTTGATTTCCAACAACAATGTTGAGTTAATTATAAAAAAATTATCTAATTAACAATTTTTTTTTTCTGAATTAAGTTTTTTAGAATTTTGATAAATATTAAGTTAGGCTAGGGTGTGCATCCGTGTTCTCTTTATTTAAAAAATGTAATGACTGAGAGTAACACAATGCATACAACTATATGTGCAATACGGACACTCTGTGTATTGTATTATTTTCCAATGATTTGTTATACATCTAAATTATATAAATTAAATTACAGATTATATAATCTGTATATATGTTGTCTTGCAAATAAAGAAAAGTAGTAGCAAAAAAGCTAAATCTGGTATTTCTTTTTTTAGATAAAGATGAAACCTCATTAAGGCATATACGATATTTCTCGGAAGTTCCATATACGTGTCGCCTAATAGCAATGAGCAAAACTCTTAAAAATCCAAATAATATTATAGTAGAAGATAATATTATTAAGGTCGGCGACATCCATATTTGTCAACTAAAAGATTCAGAAGGGAATCTTATCAGATACAGAAGTGTAACAGGCACTATTTGGAGAGATAACCCTGATGGGACTAATATAGATGTGACACTAGATTCTGAATTAGATTAATTTGGAACAGCAGCTATAAGAATATATTTTTTTACAACACTATTGGTATTACATTTAAATATTTTTTGTATACTACACTAATATTCACGTTGTCGATAAATGTAATGTACTCAATAATAAAGAGTTTCAATCACTACTACAAACACTTTTGTTGCTTTTGTTTTATATTGTAATTTAATAATTGTTTAAATACAATGTGATAATTTTATGGTGAACCACTCAATAACTCATAGTGTTAAATAAGATTTTTTTTTTCATATTGTTTTTATACAATGATCTCAATTTTGTTCTTACCCCCCTACCAACTTAGAGTTTTTTGATAGCAACTTTCAAAACATAAACGGTAACGCATTTATTTCATTACCCTTTTTAAATTGATAATAATGTACTGTACATTTTGATTAATAGATAACCAGATTTGAACAACTATTTTCAACCCTTTCGATTGTGAGATTTTTTTGTCGAAAAAAAAATCAACAATTTTTGTACGTATCGGACTGATATTGATTTTCAATACAGCTGTGTCAATTTTTTCATGATCAATCTATCTACTAGAACTTGTGTTTAAAGACATTTTTAATAATGATAGTAGGTTGTTGATATTTTATTCGATTTTTAAAGTTAAATCCTCGTACGAGGAAGTCAGTAACAAAAGGGTTAAGTTATAAGAGTTTAAAAGTTACGATGGGTGTATAAGTTTTATTACAATGGCCTTCCCATAATTTTATATTATTATAGATACCAAGCAAGTTTTTTTTAACTTAGTATATATGTGCACTTTCTACTTTATACTACCTGGTACAAGGAAATCTTCGTACAAGTAGTTTGATAACTGCTGCTATGATGATAATACATAATATTATTGTCTTTAGTCTAGTTATCATATTTTTTTCAACTATCTTTGTTCTACATTCAACAAGTAACAGCACAGTACAACAGATTATTATGCTATTATGAAAATTATAATTTTAAAATTTAGCTTACAATCTCATAAGTGCATACATATGAATAGACAAGCGTTACTATTATTTGTTTAGTTATGTTCAACTCATTCGAAAAATTAACATATTTTGAATGTTCTGTGCTCAAATAATTGTTTTAAACAATTGACACTAAATAAGGAATTGTGGATTTAATTTGCCTACTATTTTTATTCTGTAGTAAATATTTAAAATGTTGTCTATTTTACATTTTTAACTAACTTTTTTGATTTTTTAAACAACTTTATTAATAAAATAATGCAATAAATCGGACTGTTTAAATTATTAGGTTGTCTTAAGAGGACGCCACACACCCAATTTTTTAGCGCTAAAACCTGTCTACGCAGAATGGGTTTTACTCGGCCCATGATGGTTTTAGAGCAAAAACACCAAGTATAAAAAAGAAAGATAATGACATTTCTGAAAGAATAGCATATCCGTTTTTTAAAAAATGTCCAAACAAAAAAGTTATTAATGTTTTAAAAAAGTAAAATTTACACTTTTTTTAACATTAAATATTGATCTATGTACTAAGTATATCAAAAAAAGGATATGCTTATCCCTCTAAAATGTCATTATCTTTCGATTTTATACTTGGTGTTTTTGCTCTAAAACCATCGTAGACCGAGTAAAACCTGTTCTGCGTAGACAAGTTTTTACGCTAGATTTGTAAATTTGTACGTCGTCATGTGCTGCTTCTAACGGGGCGTTCAAGTATTATTTATAATGGACCGTGCGGAGTGCGGGGGTAACGGTCAGCCGCCGTCCATCCGTCGACCGACAGCCAAAAAACGGCAGGGTTGAGGGTTATCGGTAGCGGTGACACCGCAATTATTACCTGAAGAATAAACAGATAATCCATTTTTTAACAATTGATTTTCAATAACACGGACAAATAATAGTTGCTCAGCGATACCGTCATTTAATATTTGCTTTTTTGTGTTCATTATTTTTTAGAGAACTAACTGAATAACCAGGCTTTGCTTGTTTGAAAAAGGTAGAAAGTGTGTTAAATTATGATTTATAAGAATTGTGATTTAAAAAAATATTTGGGGTAAGGGAGGGGGAAGAGTTGATTGCACACTCTGTGAAAAAAAATTTTAAAAATGCTCAAATGCCTCGCCGAAAAAACGAAACATTGTAATACAATGTGCGCCCTCCTCCCCACCCCAGACCAAAGGGTGACACTGTGACTCTAGGGGGAGAGGGAGTATTAGGATACTGTGTGAAAAATAAATAATAACTAAAATAAAAACAATAAAATTATTTAAATGCATCGCCAAAAAACCGGGACATTGAAATACGTGTGTGCCCTCCCCTCTCCTGGTCAAAAATGAGAAAAATTACGGCACACCACAACTTTTTTAAAAATATTCTATTAAGTTCCAAATGTGTATGGAATATTCTTTAGATATAGTACTACCGCTAAACGTTGACAAATAAAAAAATAATATAAATCCTTTCTCCTATGTGTGAGTTAATCACCAGTCAACGGGTATTTAAAAATATTTTCATTCTATTGCCAACTCCGATATACGGGTAACTATGTCATTCAATTGTTATAGACACACGATAAACCCTATTCGTATTAACCCTAACAACAAAACTACTTTTTTAAGCAAGTTAATGCCAATAGGGTACAATGCTTTTTTAAATATTTGTATTTCTACCACTATAGATCAAAACGTTAATTAAAAAATAATTTTATCAATTTCAGTTGTAATGAGTCATATAGACCTGTGACCTCTCCGCCGCAATATGATCCATCCCCACTATGCCCCTACCCCACTGTATTGGCTTTTTAAAATTATTTATACATATCATAATATATTCGTATAATAGTGCATAATTTTGGAAATTATCACATGTCGTTCTTATGCTTTAAAAGTCTTATGCCAAGTGCCGACGGCAGCTAATTACCACCGTAATTCGTGGGATAACAATAGAACTGAATACTGATAATCTAATTTTAACTGAACGTATTATTTTGTAAATATTGAAGAATTAAGAAATATGCCTATACTAATGAAATACTATATTTTTGTTGCACATAAAAGCCGCTATTCTATTTGTCCTATTGTGTTCTGTGTTTTATAGTGAATTTTTTAACAATTTATTATTTTATTCTTACTTGTAATACAATTACAAAACTTTTAATTATAATTCTACAATAATTTTTATAATTGTAAATTTTATAATAATTACCAATATAATTTAATAATAATTGAAATATTAAAAATATCATATTACTTTTCTTGTGTAAATATATGTAATTGGGTTTTAGTTCATGATTTTGTCGGTATTAAAAATATCAGTAACAAAATTATTTGAATTGTTTTATTTATAGTTTGTAAAGTAAAAATGATAAAAACATAATTCAAGCTATGATAGACCATAGAGTTTATATTTTATAAATATATCTATATAATTAGGCAAACAGTAGTTTTTAATCAATAACTAATTCGTGGGTGCGCGCAGATACTATAAATATGTCGGCTGTATACAGCGTATTTAATTTCAAAGTATACGAATCGTCTACCAACGACGTTCATTCATTAATAAAACACGGTCCCGTACGAGAAATTGTCAGACCGGTTACGTCAACAGTAACGTGGTAGGCGGGGCTAAAAACGCGTGCCTGCGCCTCGCTAAAACACCTAACAGCGCGTTCTATCGGTCGTTGCACGCGTTCCACTTTTGGTGTGGCGTCCTCTTAAGACTAGATATTTGTAAACCGTGTTATAAGGGACCTACAACAAAATCATAATTAAGTTTGAAAATCTTGTTAGTTATTATGGAAATCAGAAATTGTATTAATTATCGACTTCATTTAAGTCGGCAGTTTCAAATAGTAAAAGTACTTTTACTTTTTTTCTGTTTTCCCTTCCTGTTGGCAAAAAACATTTTATGTTTCTGTAACGGTCAATTTTTTGACAACATTGACATTTCATTTTTTTTTAAGTTAAGTTATTTCTCATCAAGATCCTGTCAGTAAAAATACGAACCAATAGTTTGTCTCAATTACACTAAATCACACAATGATATTCAAACTTCAGAAATAAAGTTAGGGTTTATGTCACGCAAACATTAAATGATCAGAAATTGTCTTTTTTATTTTATTAATAACCATTAAATTTAAATGCTTATATGTTTTTCATCCTTTTATTAGTACTTACTAACTATTATTATAACTTATAAGCCTTTAAAATAAAATATGGCTATTTCAAAAATTTAAAATTGAAAAGTTAATTATTTTACATTTGAATCCGTTTATTTTGATTTTATAATCAGTATTTACTTATTTTTATTATTTTCTTCACTATTTGATATTTAGAAAATTAATAGCTTAATAGATTTTAGTAATTTAAAAAGAAAACCATAATTTTAAATTTCCTTGTTTAACCATACAAATTAAAGTATTGAAATTATTAAACTATTTTAACGGGTACGTTTTACTTAGATTATGTCAAAATAGCATTATTTTTAAGCAATATAATAAAAAAATAGCCTTTGCTAAGTTTTAGTCTCTAAGTTTAACAATTATTCTGAAATAAAACACGTTTTTGAGGATTCCAATTTTAAGGAATTTATACGCGACAAGTTTGTCTGATTTTATACAAACACATGTGTGTATACTACATTTATGTATAAATACAAATAATTATAATACCAGGTAATACATGTTTAACGTTTTATGGATATAATTCCTCATAATCAAAAAATACAGGGTAATCCAACTAACGTAAGACACTTATTTTCTCTGAAACTATGAATATTTTGGGAATTTTTTTTCCCTTACTTATAGGTAGGTATATATTAATAGAATATATTTGTGTATCTGCATTGTAAATTTTGAAATAAGTTGCCTTTATCAATTCCGATATATATATAATAACAATTTGTTTGTAAAATAGATGAGTTAACTATCTCAGTGTGAACTATATTGTTCAAATCTGGTTATCTATTAGTCAAAATGTACAATACATTATTATCAATTTAAAAACTAGTTGAAACAATAAGTAGAATCTAACTAACAACTATCTATTAAAAAAATATAAATATTAATGAATATTTTAGGTTGTTTTTCAGCTTTAGTACTAACAAATATCCTATCCTAATTTGAAAGTTATTCGATTATTTATAGTCTCTTACTTAAAACTCTTAAAACTTTTACTACTTAAAACTCAATAATCGTACAGGTTGAACGATTATTCAAAATATGTCTCTTATCAGTCTAGACACATAATGATACATAGATTTGCCATCTTATAATAAGTTACTTTTTATTTAACGGTACCATAACTGTATCGGTGAGTAAAATTTTTTTAGTTTGTGTAAAATCAGATACTACGTGTACTATAGTGTTTGAATTATATTTATGCTTTCTAAACAAATTATTAGTATATTTTCATTTCAATTTTTAATAGGTTGTGTACATTTTAGATTCATGTAAAAATATCTGCTGCTCATTACTAAATGAGCGTGATCGAAACAGTTTTATCCTTCGATTCACATAAATGTGAGTTTTGTTCAAAACTATTATTTTACTTGCAAAATGTAATAACGTATTGATCTGTTGGTTGTAAAAAATTGTTTACAATAATTATTAACTACGTACAGTACATACATTAATTTACAAGTTTAACTGGAAATTGAAAATTGTGTTAGATACATTATTAGTATTAGATTGGATACGATTAAGGTTGATCGTCTGTCTATTAAAATTTATTACCATAGTTACCCGTATATCGTCATTAATAATATAATGCCAATTTTGTTATCACCTGTTTACTGTTGATTCACTCACACGTAGCAACCTGGAAATTGACCACGGTCAAAGTGTAATTTTCCATTTTTTTTTTTTTGGTTTTTCTCTAATACAAAAACGGTAGATTTCGCTAAACTTTTTTCTCAATTTTGAAGGTTAAAGGGTGGTTTTTTTTTTAATTCACATCGAAGCTAAAAAAAAATTAAGTATGAAATAGTCTAAACACTACGTCAGTGTGGTGTAAATATTTAATCATATTAAAAAACAGCTACGGAAATAGATATACATAGGCAACCAGCAAAATAAATTTAGATTTGACTGCGTCGGTGGACATAACAGCCCATTCACAAGTTGCAAGAAAATAACTTTAAATATTTTAATAAGCTGATCAGATTGATATATTGTAATAGGTTCTATATTTTAGTATTTTATGTTGAGTAATATTAAACAATTTTCAAGATTGTACTCGTAAGAATATTTTTTTTTAAATTTGTTTTAGTCTTACTAGTAATTTATTTTTGTAATTTTACTTTTCTTGGTTCACTGTGTAGTTGTCTGTTCAGAAGGAATACGAATACTCGTAAAAAAAAAATAAATCTTAAACATTTTTTTTTTTTAATTACTTTTGGTACAATTTTCACTTTTTTGTCCATTTGGTGCTAGTTCTACTGAATCCTTAACTTTTCTATTAGTCTTATGTTTAGGATAAGAAAAAATTATTAAGCGACACGAATTAGAACTCTGATTTATTAGAGCATATTGACAACAATTTAGGTGCTCGTTCACGTTTCTAAGTTGATAGAATTGGTTAAATTTTTTAGAGTAACTCAAATATAATTTAACATATACTAGCCACCTGTGCGCCCCACTAGTAGTTTGTAAATTTAATAATATATTTATAATTATCACAACAAATAAATTTGCATGCATTAAAATAAGTTAAACACGAACCTATTCAGTGAAACTTAGGTAAGATTTACTTCAGTGGCGGTAAAAAATGTCATGTAGGTCAATTTTTGTTTTTACTTCAAAAAAATGTTATCGTTTTTTTTATTATTTCCAGATAAAAATGAAACTTTTAAGTGTGCTAATATCATTTTGCTTGGTAAATGTTTTGGTAGCTAATTTATTAGGTGATTATTAATTCATTTTTACACAGGGTAGTAAAAATCAACAAAAAAACATTAAAATTCTTTTTATAGAGACTTATATTAAAGCAGTTATAAACACAAGTAAGTTAAAATATTTTGTTCGTACAAAATAATTTTTAAATTTTTACTATATGTATATAGTTTTATACAGACTTGCATATGGTGACAGCAGCAGGTAACACATAGTATTTAACATTTTAAAGTACTTATATTATAGTACATTTTTAGTGTTTTGTCTGTATATCAAAAGAAAATAAACAAACGATAGTTTAAATAATTTTTTTAACATTGAAAAATTGACTCTATTGAATATGGTTTTTATGTTGATTAAAGTAAAAGAAGAGAAAAAATCGGGGAACTGTAACATAAAATAAAAAGAATGTGATAATTACTATGTAGTTTTTTATAGCTCAATTAATTGTTTGTTTATATTAGATGAAATGCCACAAGTAATCCAAAATATTATTCGTGGAACATATACGATGGGTAATTATAATAATTCTATAATTAAACAATAATAAGTGGTTTATTATGAGACACTGTAGAGTTAACTCTGCTGTCTGTCGGTCTCCATACTTAACGGGAATGCAAGCAGTCGGTTTTTTTATAGGCAATTTAGAAAAAATAGGTTTTAATCAAATATTTCAACCCCTTAATATAACGTTGATACATCCCAAAACATTTTTTCCTAATTAATTGATTAAATGCATTTTCTAGTTACTATCTGACTTTTTAATTTTATTAATTCAGTTCAAATAAAAATTAAATAATGCATTAATGTTATTTTTAATACAGCGCAAATTTCTTATATGTTGGCAGTAATACCAGGTAATGACTTTTATACAATTTTATATGAAATTTTAATTTCAACAGGATTATTAATTTATAAATTTTTATAGTTTTTTTTTTTTATTTCAGAACCACGATACTATACCTTAAGCGGTATTCAATTTCCATATTTTATTTTTATATTTTATTATACTGAATCTTCTTGTTTATATTGTTCATACATGTATATTGTGAATAATCATATGCTTACACATTGATTTTTTTCACTATAAACTATGAACATTAAATTGTATCTCGTTTTGAATTTCAGATATGCTACGGATCCAGCTTCTAATGCAAGAAGAAATAAATAATGAGACAGGTAAATATAAAATTTAACTGTTTATAAGAACAATAACTGTTATAAATAAATTATTTTTTTTTACTATATAATTATTTAATATTAAATTTTTTGGTTACAGAAGTTGATGCACCTCAAATAGACGGAGGTAATCACAATCATAAATACATTTTTCAATTGTTATGCCTTGTAAACCGTTAACGTACGTTGTTTCTCTGAAGGGAGACAAGAATTGAACCTTTCTGTAGGCCGTTGTTCACCTATATTTTCTACGAGTTTTGTTACCAAGGCAAATTACGAATTGTAATATTGATCATACTGCTTAAAAAGTCTAAAAAGTCGGGTTAGATTGTTCAGTTTTAGGTTTAGCGATTGTTCTGGTTATTTTGCAGCGTCAGGAAACCTTTTTTAATATAGTCATTGTATACTGATTATCCAATAGCCAAAACTCGAGAAAACAACAATTTTCTTTTAGTTTATTAATTTTTTTTATGAAAACCACTTTTTTATTTACATAAATTTGGTGTGTACATTTTCTGACTATTTTAGTTAATTAATGTATTTTATAGAAAATATAGTAAAAAAATGTTTTACTTGATTCAACGATTTTGGTGCAAATTTTTAGTTTTTTTTTCAATATTTAAATATATTAACCACTTTTTTGTAGTCAATTGAGAAACATTAATTTCATTAATGATTTTATCGATGACACACCATTGCCTTAAATCTGGTTATTCGATATACATACATACTTAATGTATATTGTATAATATATATGTAGTAAAATAAATTAGATATCTTTAATATGTAATGCAATGCTATCACGAGCAATAAATTAATTTGTTTTTTCTTCATTATTTATTATTCAGAGATTTTTGTTGCGGAAGTTAATCTGCCAGTTTACGGTCAAGCAAGAAGAGTTATAACGAAACACGCTACAAAAGCTTTAATCAGTTCTGAAATAGGTAAATATTCATATTGAATGGTTGTACTGTCAAAGTAACCAAGTTAATTTAGATTTACAAAAATAAACATAGAGCTTTAGAAACACAACGTGATTTTGTTTTCTAAGATGCAAACCAACATCGAATACAACCAATCAAATATTTCAAAGATTCTCTCGAGATGTGTCGTTTACTAGGATTGTTCAGAAGTATTAAATACCCAAATAACTACATAATAGATGCCGTGATTGATGAGACTGAAACTTGTACTCTAACAGATTTAAACAGCAATCGTATCAGATACGTATCCGTTGCAGACCATATTTGGAGTTTAAACTCTAATAATGAACTAGATATGCCATTTGATATAAATTTAGCATAGTTTAGAACAGGAATTATAAAGATAAATATTGTGTTATATTTAAATAATTTTTGTACACCGCTGTAATATCCAAGTTGTCGTTAAATTAAATGTATTCAATAATAAAGAGTTTTAATCGTGACTAAAAACACATTTGTTATTTATGTATTGGAATTATATTGTTTTTTAATAATTGTTTACATATTCAGAATATATTATAATAGTGCCGTAAATATTAATATTTTTTATAATTAATTAGTTTGACTATAAAAACAAATTTAAAGAGTTATTCTCAGATTAGTGGAACCACGTGAAAGTAGATGTCAAGAAAACTCGTTATCTTGAAAAAACCAAGAACTCAGTACCACGAGTAGCATAGAAAAATTTGGTTTCATTACAATTATTTTAGATAAAAACAATTGCCTAAAATAACAATACTGTATGAGTAATACTGACAGATACTTAGCGTACAGAATAATGTATGGTTAAACTCTATAATGTAAACTTTAGTTTTAAGAGTGATATTCAAACAAAAAACTAAGTATAAAATAGTCAACACTGCGTCAATGTAATGTAAATACACATACAGTCGTTTTAAATAACGGCTATGTAAATAAACTAACAAAGGCAGCCAGCAAAATAAATTTAGATTTTAGTGTTTCGGTCGACATAAACGCCCACTCAAAAGTCAAATATTTTCATTGTATTGTTAGTTACGATCGACCCTAATCGTATAGTATACCCTAATATTGAAAATTAAAATTGTGATGGGTTGAACTTACTATTCACAGATTCGTATCGAAGAGTTTATTCAATAGTAATTAAACCACTTCCAGTGTAATGATTCCTGTAGGTCTGTCACTACCCCAACTCAAGTTTCAACTATGCCCCGACCCCACTGTACTGGCTTTCTTTTTATTATAAAATTGAAGACTTATTAATTAATAAATAATACAAGTCACGGCTAATAAAAAACTGAATATATCGATAATAAACCCGATTGATATTTAATATTTCTTCCACGTATATACGTTTCTCACCAGTATTATTAAATGTAATAACTTAAATTTAAAATTTTTAAATATTGCCACAGTGTATAAAAATAGTATATAAACTCGTATGCACAGGTGCAAAATAGAAATATAAAAAATAATACCAGTCGCTTGAGTTTTAAAAGACATTTAATATGCTTTAAACGTTTTTAATACTATAAAACTTAAATAATTACTTTTTATATTACATTCGCTTCACACTGTGGTGAATTATATATTACATACTTGCGTCGTTCTACGAACAGATGACCCTTTATCTGACACTGAGAAACTTCTATTAAAGATATAAAAGTATCATTAACTATCATATTTATATTTATGAGAATATTAAAGATTTATATAGTATGAGTAATATAATTTAGAATCAAATTAAAACTGTACAAAAATTAATACAATTTCGAAAAAAATAGGATGAAAATAAATTACGTTCTTAAAGTTAAATTTTTAAATAGTATATCATGTACAAGGTAATATTAGGAACAAAAAGTTAGACTCATACACTTGTATATGAAAGGGTTATTGATTTTTTTCCAGATATGCTAAAGATTAGCACTAAGCAATAGCAAATACAATTTGTAATTTGACAGATAGGCACAAATTTATAACATTTTTTTTTTCTAATCGATAGAATCGATCGGCTGAGGTCTTCCGCAGTAGGACCTTTAGGGCCACTTGCGATCAAAAATAAACCTAAGTTTAAACGAGTTAGTTATCATTTTGATTTCAGGTTTTAATTATGATTTCATCTGTTCAGAAAGTTTTCACTTTTTTCTATGAACTGCATCAACCTTTAACTTTTCAAATTCCTTTGCTAAATATTTTACACATACCTACAATATTCTATTATCCAGTGACAAGACAGTGGCGCAAATTTAAGTGAAAATAGTAACGTAGCTTCTACGCTGTGAATACTATACACGAAGCATCGCAATATCATTGAACACGTGTAAATCTTAACACAAATTTATGAGCCAACGGCTGGACAGAATTCATCATAAGACATATTAATAGATTCGAAAAGTTATCTAAACGAGAGTGCTTAAATAAAAATTAGATTGGTTGAATTCTTCATTAGTTGTAGATGATAATTGTGTCTGATTCAGAGATTGTTTTGATTATTTCATAACAAATCAGTAAAAATATTTTTAAACAAAATATTTCACCAATATTTTACAACTAATATGAATATTTTTTAAAACCTTCGATCTGTTCGCAGCGTTCTCTATACACCGGTTGTCCATCAGTGCTTCCCAATCGATAATTTTAGTATGTACTCAAAAACGAATTCCATGGGAATGCACCCAACAATTAACTTCCAGCTTTCGTTGTCCCAACACGGTGGCAAGCTGCTATGTTACCTAATCTAACCTTGTTGGATTGTCCTACCTTGGTTTGACAACGGTGTAGGTGCGTGGAAGTCATTCGTGGTGTGACATTTTTGTGTATTCGGATCATTCCTTTGTTAGATCACGGCCCGTAAAGCCATTTGACATTGCTCCCGGATGTTCGGTGGCTTTCGGTTTTAAAGGTGTCTAATAGATTTGGTTTAGCAAAAGGCAATATTTAATAAGCTAAATTTCTATGACATACTCGCTCACGGTTGCTTCATAATATTGGTTAATGCTTACAGTAAATAGGATAATTATATTGAATATATCTATATATATTTATGAGGCCCGCAACAATAATAAGATAATCATTGAATGTTGTAAGGCTAAGGGGCTCTGTTTTTTTTTCAATTCTGTAAAGATACGAGTTCTTTGTGTGACTGCTAGGTTATGTAAGAAACGAATTTTTTCTTTTCTATATGTAAAAAAATTGGATTTTAATACTGAAAAAATTTCAAATTTTATTTATTTAATTATATGAAACTTAATTTTTAAATGTAAATCGGCTTCTTACATACCACAGTAAGGTAGCCAAAAAACTCGAATCTCTTGACAGAATTAAATATCGCCTACACAAAACTATATGTCAATTAATATTTTCAGAATATTGCGATAAATCATCAGGCAAATGCTAAAATTAAATGATTTAATATTATTTTTTAGTACTCAAAGCAGAATTTTTTTTTCTTTTTTATTAAAGTGATAAATCAAAAATTGAATAAACAATAAAAACTGCGCGTGTACTTGCAGTGCGCGTGGATGAAGTGATATATATTTCGAAATAAGTGTCGAAATTCATGTCTGTTCAGAAGAAATACAAAAAATAATCAAATCAAGTTAAATTTAAAACACCTTTGTTTTTAATTTTCAATTTCTGGTACAATTTTTCCTTTTTTGTCCATTTAAGTGCTAGTCATACTGCACTGGTCCCTTCTTTGATAGTAAGTACATTTTTTATACATTTTATTAAGTGATTTTATTAAAAATGTTTGGGTTTCTTTGTAATTGCGCACGATAAATGTTTAACCGCCATTTAATTCAGTTTCGATAAATTGTCAGTTTTTTTTATTACAGCAATTGTAGACATAATGTAGTTACAATATATACTATTTCTTAGCAACAAAAGTAAAAAAAAAAATGAAATCTTATAAATACAAAACAAGAAAAAAGTGTTACCAAAAAGCATTTTTCAGCCGAGTCTGCAAGCATGAAAGAGCGTTTTCATATCTCGTTGAAGTACCGAGTAAATTTAGAGTAGTAGTGGAATTATAGATAATGAAATAGTATTTTAACAAGCAGTAAAAAACTAGTATCTAAGGTGGCTAGTAAACATATCAAGTTTCTTGCTAATATTTTAGTGATTAATAAACGGCTTAAAACAGTTCATAAAAATATGACTTCTCAAATTATTAAATTTATTATAGTTCAGTTCTAGTTTGAACGTTGAGAATACAACATATATAAACTATATCGATTCCGAAGCATTGATACCATTCGAAATATTTTTCGTTGCTAACCCAAAATAAACACTTGGTTTCTGACAATGGTTACCATGGTACTCGAATGGTAGGTGATGATTAATTTTATGTTGTGGCCAACATTTTTTTAGTAGTTTTTTAATAATTGGCTTTAATCAATTTATTGGCAAAATATTTACTTGGCTAGTAATTCATTAACCATTCATTTAAGTTAATTCGTTGTGAAAACAACACATAATTTAAAAAATTTAACATCCCCTCCCCATCCTCATCCCTACCCCAAACCATTCCTACCCCCATCTCTTACCCCCTATCTCCTTCCCTTATCTCTTATCTCTCTTATCAGATAAATCAGCTGTTATTTTTCGATATGATAACCGGTGTCGATGTCGATTTTTTCCGGCTATGTTCCAAAGTAAAAACCATATCTCTTATCTCTTATCTCTCTTATCTAACAGATAAATCAGCTGTTATTTTTCGTTATGATAAGCGGTGTCTGTGTCGATTTTCCGTGTGTGTGCCATAGCAAAGACATAAAAATGTCAAAAAAAAATTTTTTCCCAGACTAATTATGGTTTTGAAAAACCATAATTTTTTACTAGACGCTGTCAGGTTTGCTGTTCCCTTTAAAAAAAAATAATGAAAAAAAGACACACGTACATTTTTTCTTTTACAAAATGTAGAACATTTGTAGCCAAATATTTCTTTCCATAATATATTTGTTGGTTTTTTTTACAAATACATTTTATTTCACCAACGGAAAATCTCCATTTAACGATATATTATAAAAAAACATAAAAAAAAAATAATATTTCTCCTTACAGTAATATATTTGTTTGGGAAAAAAATGTAGAGCCTGTGTCGCACAGATGGGTAAAAAAATTGTTTTTTTTTTTAGTTATTACAATGGTAAAAACGGAAGAACAGTCTTCTTAAAAATATGCTATCAGAATATTTAATTAATTTACTATTAGCGCTTATACAATTTGGTTAAGATATTAGTTATTTATTAGGTTTTTGGTCAGATGCCTCAATAAACGATTAATCGCATTATCGATCATAAAACATAAATTTCGACTTTATAAATTTTCGATTGCTAATTTTGTTATTATGATATCATAGTATACAAAATAATGCTTTGCTTAAAAGACTTCTAAGAAAAGTATATTTGTTTTTTGTATCCTGCGTTGGACCTTATGTAATTTTTAGTTCTAAATTAAAAAAAACTATGTCCAAAAGTGAATTTTTAAAAAATTGGGTTCTTACTGAATAAATTAATGTACTGTATCTAAACATTTTCCTACATCAGTTTCTTAATAATTTAAAAAAATGACTAGTTTACATATAATATGTTGTATTATATTTACACTATTTACATGACTTGAGGTTACTCCCACTTGGATGTCTTGACTAGTTCGTCAACTAGTTAGAACCGGAAATACAGCAAGAAACTATTGATAACGGAAACGAAAATCAGTCATGCGGCAGCCGGCCAAGGCGAAGGGGCGTGGTCGTAGAAAATAGCTGGCAGCGGCAAGGGGAAGATGAGAATACGGGGGGGGGGGTATTGTATATAATCTACGGCCACGGAAGCGAATCGGTCAGTCTGCAGAAGAGCGCGGTACGAGCAACATCGAACCACAACCCTGAAGACGGAACGTGCAAGTGTTCCGAAACGTTGGAGAACTAGTCAAGACATCCAAGTGGGAATAACCTCAAGTCATGTAAATAGTGTAAATGTAATAATATATTTTTAACTAGCACAACAGATAAATTTACACCGATTAAAAGAAGTTTCTAAAATATTAACCTAACATTTTTCATGGTATTTAATCACATACACATTTGGTAAGATTTACTTCCACGACGCACACTGGGGCAAAAGACCTCCAAAACTGGCAAAAAATAAATTTGAATTTAAACTACGAACAATTTAGAAGTATGTAACATAACCTTATTATACATATTACTTTTGTTTGTACGATAACACTGTCAAATAGGTCACGCTATTTTAGTAACATGGTTAATTTATTGCTCGCTACAAAAAATTGATATTATGGCACTTCTTCCCACTCCTGTCACTGGGGCAAATATCGACGAGTCACCCCGATAAAAAAATGTTTTATATGTTACTATTATTATTCCATTTTGTTTCTATTATGAGATATTATCTAAATAATACATTTTTAAACTATAAAACCTTCGACGTCAGGTATGTAATACCTGATTTTCATTAGCCATTTTTTGTTTCGGATGATTTACAATTTATATTTTATAGATAGATTCTATAAACGTTTAAAAGTTTTTAGTTATGTTCCAAAGTAGATCGTGTGCCGAATGTTTGTTTTTCTATTAACTATGAGTTATAAGAGCAATAAAAACTTTACACATTTTGCTTCTTTCTGCTACTTTGTTAGATATGTCCACATTTTGTCCAAACTTGCATAATAGAATCGTGATTAAATGTTTACTTAGCTTACGCATACATCTCGTCATATGTTTCTATTTATACTTACTAAATAATATCCCTAATAAATAGTTTAAATAAAGAATAAAATAATAATAGAAAAATAAAATAAACAATAATTTGATTAGTTTATAAATAGTTCCGCATTTTAATAAATTATTTTTTTCTGCTAATTTTGGAGGCCTCTCGCCCCACTGTGCGATGGTCAATTTTTGTATCACTTCAAAAAAATGTAACGTTTATTATTATTTGCAGGTAAAAATGAAACTCTTACGTTTGCTAATATCATTTGGCTTAATAAGTGTTTCGGTAGCTGATGATCGAAGTAATTATTTTATTTGTTCACGTACTTAGACGAGTTAGTAGCAATTTATAAAAAATACTGAACATTTAACTTGTTTTTATAGAGGAATATTATAGCGTAGTCATAAATACAAGTCAGTAAAAAGTTATTTTCCTATCAAATAATTGTTTAAGTTTCACTTTGTTTATTATATAATTTGTTACAGGCATGCAAATTATATTAGCAAAAGGTAACACATAATCTGATCATGATCTATGATCTATGATCGATGGCATCTTATATAATAATATTATACGTTTAAAGTAAGCGTGTTTCTTTAGTATCGCTGTTTAGTGTCGTTTATGGGATGAGGGCCAAGACTAAAGCATGTTCCATGCTAAAAAATTTGATATTGATAACTTTAAAAGCTTTTCGTGAATAGGAAAATTACAAAATTCCATACACTCCTAATGAGAATATTTGTTTTAGCTTTACTTTAAGATACTAAACATTTAGATAAATAGTATTTCAAACCAATGAGTTATACTGATTTGAATTTGACACAAGTTTGTGCGTTACATTTTATGAAAACTTATTTTTCGATTTTCTCCAAAAAGATACAAAATATGGATAAAAAGTGACAATAGATGTATTTAAGTTGTTTGCATAAAAAAAAAATATTCTTTGGTAACGCAGATATCTGAAACCGATGGACAGATTTGTTTTATTTTAACTACTTATTAAAATAACCTTACCCCAATCATATAAAAGTACATTAAATAATTTTAGAACTTTATCTGATACAGTTTTTTCACTAACAAGCATTAAAATTGTATTTTACAAAAACAAATTTCCCCTTTAAATTTTCATACTTTTGATAATATATTTTTAAAAAAATGTTTCAAAAAAAATAAATTTAGAGTTACTTAGGCTTCTTGTAAGTATAGACAGCAGTTACGCTGTCTAGAGATTTTTTGGCGGTGAAGGGTTTTTTAAAAATATTATATTATTTTATTTCTTAACAATAATTAACGATAAGTACTGCTTACATTTTTTTTAATCTCTTACCATTATTTGTTTATACTAGAACAAATGGACAAAGTCATGTTGGCGTTTGCTAAAAGAGAATATCCAATTGGTAAGTACAACTAAAAGAAAAGATGGTTTATACGGATTGGTAATTACAATACTATAATTAGACAGATGTTAGTGGTTTAACCTAAGGGGTGACACACTGTAGAACTAAATCACTGTCTGTTCGTCTCCATACTTAATTATTATACATCATATTATATATAATTAAATGTTAAATTAAAATATAAATTAGTATAAGGTAATACTTATTGTTTTTAAATGTTATTATTAATTATAAAAAACTATTTAGGTATTTTATTACTATATTTTCGAATTAATTTAATACAATTGATCCCAAGCAATATTTTCCGAATTAATTAGACATGTCCATTTTCTACTTGTCTTCTTCTCAAATGTACAAATTAAATAAAAATACAAATTAACTAATGCGTTTATGTTATTTTAAATACAGATGATTTTTATTATATGTTTATTTTCATACCGGGTAAAGACTTTTTTTTAATTTCATATGTTAACATGGTTTTTAATTTTTATTATGTATAAAATGTATTTTGTTATTACAGATTGGCGACCCTATAGCCCACCAAGTACATATTATTTTGTTTTTATATTACTTTACACATAGTCTTATCGTTACTAATTCTTAAACGAATGCTGTGAAGTATCCTATAAATTATGTCTTGTTTGGAATTACAGTAAAGCAGGAAGTTCAGCTTAAAGCGCAAAAATTAATTGAGGATGCGACTGGTGATTTTTTAAATAATTTTTTTTAATCAAACAATAAATAAATTTAGTTTTTATATAGTTCTAAATAAAAACGATAACTAATCTCTTAAAGTTTAATTTTATAATTCTAAATGTTTTTGTTTAAAACTTCAATGGTCTTTTAAAACATAGTCCTAATCAATCTAGTTCATTAATATGTTTTTAATTATGGCTATCAGAAGTTTTAAATTCATTCACTGTTTTACGTTGATTAAGTTTTGAAATATTCTCAACCTCAAGATTACTGATATAAACGAGGTGTAGAATACAGAATTATTTTTTTAACCGTATAATTATTTGATATTTAATATTTTAATTACAGCTATCAAAGCACCTGAGGCAGCCGAAGGTAATTACAATCATATATATTCATTTATTAATGGTTTAGCCTGGTAAACCGCTAATGTATGAGTAGAAGTGGCTTTGAAGAGGGGCAAAAACTAAACCTTGCTTCATTGCTTAACTATATTTCCTGCTAGTTTTGTTACCAAGGCATATCACGAACTGTATCATTGAGCATAATGTTCAAGAGGTTTTAAAAGTTAGGTTAGTTTTTTTAGGTTATAAAGTTGAAAAAATCCAGTACAGTGGAGTTGGGCTATAGTCGGTTCCAAGGAAATCATTAGAAATATCTATTTAATGCAATGTTATCACGAGCAATTAATTTACTATTATATATATTTTAATTATTTGTTATTAAGTCTTGTATGGTCCAAACTTTAAGTTGTCAGATTATGAAGCTATAAGAAAAAGATTGGTAACAAGAGAACTTATAAGAGAATTAATCAAAACTGAAATGGGTAAATATACATATTGAATTAGCTATACTGATTTTATTAACTTAAAACAATATATTTTTAGTAATTATATTTAAATAATAATAACAATACAAAAATAAAAAACAATAGATTATTAACTTACAGACAATTATTTTTACCAAAGTAACATAGTAATTTAGGTATAAAAAAAAAAAAAAAAAAAACCTATAGAAACGCAACATTGGTATTTTACTATAAGTACTCTTTTGCTTAAATTTGTTAGTAACATTATGATTAGACTAAGTTTTTTTTTAGTTTAATTTGTGTTTTATGATTGTATATGGACTCAATTGGTTGAATATTATTTATTTGAAGATTTTTAGAATTTTGATGAATTTTAGGTTAGGCTAGGGTGTGCATCCGTGTTCTCTTTATTTAAAAAAATGTATTGACTAAGAGTAACACGTATGTGCAATACGGACACTCTGTATATTGTATTATTTTCCAATGATTTGTCATACACCTGTATATATGTTGTTTTGTAAATAAAGAAAAGTGGTAGCAAATAAGCTAAATCTATTATTTCCTTTTTTTTAGATAAAAATCGAAGATCAGCACGACCAATAAAATATTTCATGGATCTTCCATATACGTGCCGATTAATAGCAATGTTCAAAACTATTGCAAACCCAGATGCATGTATAGTAGAAGCCAATGTTATTATTGTCGACACCGCTCATATTTGTCATCTAAAAGATTTAAAAGGAAATCTCATCAGATACAGAACCATAGGAGGCATTATTTGGAGAGATAAACCTGATAAGAATGAAACAGATGTGACACTAGCTTCTGAGTTAGATGATTTTGAACAGAAGTTATAAGAATACATTATTTTACATCACTATTGGTATTACATTTAAATATTTTTTGTACACTGCACTAATATTCACGTTGTCGATAAATGTAATGTATTCAATAATAAAGAGTTTCAATCACTACTATAAACACATTTGTTACTTTTGTTTTATTTTGTAATTTAATAAATGATTACATACATGGTTGTTGTATTTATGATGTTTATTAAACAAAAATAATTATTACAACATATTTAAGCATAAGCAGCCAACAGGCACATGTGTTAATTGTTACTGAGAAATAAAGTAAGTATTGAACAAAATAAGATTGTAGGTTATAGTACAGTGTTACCCCTTATACAACAACCCCCTTTTTTTTAAAACATTTTTTTTTTTTTTTATAAATTATAAGAGCTAATATAGTAATATAAACAAAACAATACATACATAACAAAATGATTAATTTTACATAATCACATAATAATAATAATAACAGTCATTCATACAACTACTCCCAGTCAACTCTTTCAACCCCCCAAACTAGGAATAGCGAACAATATTAATTGGGTAGTAATAGTAAAGGGCGTTACTGCAAAAATAGAGTCAATGTAAAGACAACAATGTGATTAAAATTGTACCATATAACTTTTTTTACCCGACATTCTTTATTTATTTTGGTAATTTTTATACCATAATAACCTAAGGAAAGCATACCTTATTTATAAAATGCAATTAAAAAATTATGTTGGCATCGGCCATGTTTAGGTATTTTGTTTTTTTTTTAAATTTAACATAATTTACATATTGTAAAAACTGAATAAATTTGTACGGTTTAACGGCTGATAATAGCTGTATTTTAGGGTAATGCTTGGAATCGTAGGAAAGCATGTGAAAGGTTATCAAGTATCGGAGTTCAGAACTACCATTTTCATTATTTAATGACTTATTCTAAAAATAAAAGACATCATTAAATTGTAAAAAATATTATAACTCCGTATTTTTAAACAATTTGTCAAAATACAATTTTACAAATTGCTAGTAATTAAGCTCTAAATTTTTTAATTAACTTCGCAGTGTATGAAAAAAATGAAAGTTTTAAAAAAAACTAGTTTATATTTGAAATTTTATTAACGTGTCCAATATTGATTTCATAGATTCAATTGAACGGCGATTTTCAAGATTCAATGGTTATGAAATGGGGATTGGGACGTAGCAATTTGTCTCAGTCGTCTATAGTACTAATATTTTTACAATTTAATGATGTCTTTTATTTTTAGAATAATTCATTAAATAATGAAAATGGTAGTTGTGAACTCCTATACTTGATATCCTTTCACATGCTTTCCTATAATTCCAAGCATTACCCTAAAATACAGCTATTATCAGCTGTGTTCAACCGTATGGTATGTTTTTATAATGTACTTTTCATCGTCAAGTTTAATTATCGATTTATCGTAACCCCCCTTCCCCAGGAAAGATATCAATATTTTTTTTTAAATGTTCGTGCAGTTTTAGGATTTAAGAGCTGAAAACTAGTCCGAAGAGAAGTCTGACATGTAACATGTGTTTTCGGGGTCGCCGATTTTAAATTTGATATCAGTTTTCCATTATACTCCTTGCTTAAGGTGTTGAGTAATAATGGGGAGGGAGGGGTTGAGGTATTGGGGGGGGAGGGAAGGTAATTTCCAACAAATTATTTAAATGATAAAATTATTATTTTCTATTTGGTATACTTATTTTGTAGTCGTATACTAAATTTAAAGTTTTTAAACCCATAATAGTCTTCAAAATCCACGTTCATAGTGTTTATGTCACTCTCAGGTTTACTCAATATAAAAAAAATTGTTTACTGCAAAATTTGTTCTGAACATCATAACTAAATAACCAGCACGATCTAAGCCACATAAGGTGTGCGTCAAGCACAGTCTAAACTAGCACACTCTAATCCAAGTACAGTGAGCATTTGGGACATTTAAAGTGTTCCACTCAATATCTTATATGGTTTAATCAGTTTAAAAGTGACTATTCAAAACAGGTTGTTGATCAGTCAAAACTTACAGCAAATCATTCTTAATTTTAAAAAAAACAATTGAAAATATGCGTCCTCACTTCAGTCTCAAAAGCTGATAGCCCTTTGGAAGAAATAAATTGATAAAAATGTCAATACAATATTGTCCAATATTGTAAAATAAAAAAAAACTTTAATGCCTAAATTCAAATTATTTCAATAGAAACTGAGTATGTAGACTACTTTAGCTGAAGAGCTATAGAAACGGTTTTCGATACATGCATAGATTTTAATTGTGTCTGTTTTATTAACCGTTAAACTTAATTAGCCAAAATAGTTGCCCATAGAAAAAAATCACCGTTAAAAAATCCAACGACAACAGTGTGTTTAAAATTTTTTTTTTATTAAGATTTAAGTGTTTGAATACAATATAGATTATAAAATGTTTAAAGTACAGAAGTCAACGGTAGATAGGTATTATTTTCATACACATTATATTACTCTACAGTATTTTTCACAAAGGTAGTCGCGTTGAAAATAAAATATAAAAAACACATGCTGGTTACACACGACCTTTTAAGTTATGGCGTTATAAGAAAGGTTATAATTTGTTTACAAAAACAATTGTGGTAAGACCGAAATGTATAGGCTACAAATCGGGTGATAATGTGTGTAGAGAAAAAAAACTGAACACGGTAAAATATTTAACAACAAAATGTTTGATTACAATAAAAAATATAATAATGATAAACACGCAAAATATGACCACACAGAATTTCATAGTTTTTCTTACATTAAATTATTTTGGTGATTTAAATCGCTGTGGCTCAGACCTATCTGTTCAATAGAGGATGAAATAACTCCACCATCGGTCAGGAAGATGTCTCTTTATGGCTTCTTGACCAGTGGGATTGCGTTCGACCCGACAACTGTTTCTTATTTCAAATCATTGTGCGTTGCTCTGTTTCTCTACAACAATCTAGTAGGTGAAATAAGCATCTGCCCGAACGATGCCACTCTATTTATCATAGTTAAAATCATTTATCCCTTATAATGATTCTACCTAGTGCTTATACGATTTTATTTCAACCCAAATAACCACAACTTGTTAATTATTTCTCATCGTAAAAATCACTAATATTTCCATTTTTATATTTTATACCAAATTATCTGATACTCGTGAGGTCTGTGTTCCACTGAGAAGTTTTCTATCACAATCTTGCCAATATCGCGCCCGATCAGATAGAAGATTAACGGCCGTGTTGATCAATTTCATCTTGTAAAGTCAGGCCTTGATAATCGGTGAGCTTAATAATATATTGTGGTGTAAGCGAATACAGCCGTGAAACCAAGTCGGAAGGAAAGACGGACCATTTTTACTATTTTTACTCATACGCAGACAAAATAGTAGGAATTTATAAAAAACACCGAAAATTTCTTTTTTTTTTATATAGAGGAATATTATAACATAGTCATAAGAACAAGTCAGTAAAAAGTTTTTTTCATATTTTATAACTTTTTAAGTTTCACTATGTGTATTTAATTTTTTTTACAGGCTTGCAAATGGGATCATTAAACTATGGTAACACGTAGTCTAATCATGGTCTATAACCTCCTTGTAATTTATGATGATAGTATAGTCTTAACTTTTATGTTCTGGCCAAACATTTGCACAACGACCACAAATTTTATATTAGTAACTCTAAGAGTTTGTCGTGAATAGGAAAATTACAAAATTACATACACTTCTAGTGAGAATATTTATTTTAAGATACTAAACATACAGGTAGATCATATTTCAAACCAATGAGTTATATTGATATGAATTTGACACAAGTCTGTGGTTTACATCCTATAAACAATTAATTTTTCTATTTTATCCTAAAATAATATAAAAAAATAAAATGTTGGTTCTAAGCTCGCTAGATTGAGCTTGGTACTCAAAAAGATACAAAATATGGATAAAAAATGACAAAACAATTATTTAAGTTGTTCGCAATTAAAAAAATATAACAGGTATCTAAAACCGACAACAATTAATTTGATATTGGTAACTTTAAGAGCTTGTTGTGAATAGGAAAATTACAAAATTCCATACACTTCTAGTGAGAATATTTATTTTAAGATACTAAACACACAGGTTGTTGAGGCTATAACAGGTAATGGAGCGCAATTCTATGCCGGTTATCGCCAATGATATAGATGCCCTCTTATCTTGGTTGTCGCGGCCGTCCACACCACTCCGCCCTACTCCACACGATCTATACTGGCAATACTACCGGTCAGCTGTTCACACACACACACACACACATATACGCACCGGGTTATACTATGTAAACAAATGTGCCACGCCCGTATTATCAGTGTTAGTAGTGCACTTGTTGCATTCTTGTGAATTTGAAGTATATAATATTAATCTAGACTTTTTTGTGTGTTTTTCTTCAGTGTTTTTTAGTTTTAAGTGTTATTATAGTATTTTTAAGCCATAAGGGCATTATGATTTTTTATTATTATTGTCTTAAGGACAAAAGATTGTTTATTATTGTATTTTTAAGCCATAAGGGCATTATTGAGTTGTCATAAGGACAAAAAACTATTTTAATATTTTTGTTTTGTTGTTCACTTTATTTTGTGTCTAGTATTATTTAGGTTTAGGTAGCAGCCCTGGCCAGCGGTTTGCAGTTCTTCGGTTTGTGAGTACTTTTTATTTATACCATATTTTATTGAGTTTGTTTTATTTGTATTTTAGTTAACTACTGTGAATTATTAGAACATATTTTGATCTCATTTACTAAATACGAGTTAGGGCGATAGACATAAGGTTAATCGTACCATCTATATTGCTAGTTAGCCATAAGGGTTCAATCTAGTCAATAATCAATATTTGTATTTGTGAATAATTTTTGTTGTTCTAATAACCACCTTAGTTATCAAAATACTTTTAACGTCATAAGCTTTAAGCACTCACTTAACTTTACCTTTTAATCTAGTCATTACTATATTAATTATTTATTTGTGTTTGTGAATTATTATTCACAGACCAGATTAATTTATTGTTGTGCCAAAAGGGCAATTAATTCCTTTTAGTTTACCAATCTTTTTTTATACTAATTATTTATTTGTGTTTGTGAATTTTATTCGCA